GTATGTCCCCATGACCCCACGTAGGATTCCATGCAGCAGTGCACCCCTGCACCCCCAGTGAGGTTTTACATAACTGTCTCCTGGCGTGTCCGGGCTGGCAGGAACGGACAGGGGTTGCTCAATGTCCCCGGAGCGTTCACGTCCCAAGCGCATGGCAGCAAGAAGAGGAGGAGGTGAGGACCCCCTGGCAGCACAGCTGTTTGCAGACTGTCAGCCCCGGGGGACAGGAGTTGGACCCACTCTCACAGGGCCCCACAACTGAACGTGTAGAGGGGTAGGAGTGGGACAGAGGGAAAGACCCCAGGCACCTTCGCTCCTTGCCGCTCCCCTGCTCCTGGCATGGGGATGCAGCAGGACCTCCGGCCAGCTCGGGTGAAGGCTACGGGGAGGCTGGGCCAGGAGAGATTGCGCAGAGCCTGGGACACTGTGTGGCCGAGCTCCAGCTGGGCTGCAGCCAAGCCCAGTCCCACGGCCATGCAGCCCAGCCAAGGCAGGAGGGGACAGCAGAGGAGGGATGTGCCTCGGCACTGCCTAAAAAGCCCCCATCGGGGACGGGGAGCAGCAGGCACCCTGAGAAGAGCCCAGAGCAGCGCTGCCAGAGCTGTGGGAGAGAGGCCATGGAGCAGTACTTCTCAGCCACCCAGAAGATGGAGCAGGAGGTGATGTTCCCCAGCTTGCTCCGAGGGGTCTTCCCGCAAGAGGAGGGGGCGGCCCCGGCCGCAGGCAGCCACACAGACCTCTATGAGCGCTACCAGCTGCTCAAGTCCATCAAGCCCATGGTGGAGAAAGGCCTGGCCTCTGTCAACGCCCAGAGCCCCACCGGTGCCGACAGCGACACGGACACATCCTCGGACGGCAACGAGGCTGTGGATGCCCAGCTGGAGGAGCGCCTGTCCCACCACCTGACGGGCTTGCAGCAGGTCCTCACCCACCTCACCAGGGACACCAACGCCCTCACCCGGAGGTACAGCCAGATCCTGGAGCAGATCAACCTCAGCGAGGGGCAGCCCAGCTGGTGATCCTGTCCTGGCCACCAGGTAAGAGCTGAGGGGCCACAGAGCTCAGGGGCAGCAAGGCAAGGGGTGGTGTCCCTGGAGAGGTCCCCAACACTGCAAAGGGGTGGGAAGCTCCTGGGAAGGGCCTTGAAAGGGGGGCTGTCCCCTCAAATGGGGGCAGGTACCCATCTCCACGCTGCAGAAGTGGGCACATCCCATCCCTCCAGGCAGAGACTCCAGGGGTTCAAGATCTGTGGACCCAGGGTTGGTGGACTATATGTCTGCCGGGGATGACCCTTGGAGTTAAGGACGGCTGCCGTTGCAGGATGGGTGCTGGTGTCAGGAAGCAGAAGACGTCCCATCGCTGAACATCGCAGGCTCCTCCCCACTCCCACTCGCCCTCCTCGCACCGTGGCAGCTGATCTCCCAGGGCTGGCATTGACACCGGAGAACCAGATGCTGCCTTATCCTCATAGGAAGAAGCATCTGGCTGTGCTGGGAACTCCATTGGAAGAGCTGCAGACTCGTGCCCTCCTCTTTATTTTCAAAGAGCAGGACGAAGGTGGAGGTGTTGTGCGACGGCCCCAACCTCCAACAGTCCCTTGCAACTGCCAAGCCCTTTCCAGCTGGTACCTGGACTCCAAGGGTATTTCCCCCAGTCTTTGCTAATAAAAGAAGCCCTGTGAAGCCATTTGTCTGTGTGGTGCTTTCAACTGGCTGGGGCTCTCATGGAGTGCCCCAGCGTGGGGCAGGGAGACACTGGCTCTGTGGGGAGGGGACTTTCCCGGGCAATGATGGGGAATTTGAAGGGACAAAGAATCACAAAGTCCTGGGATGGTTTGGGTTGAATGGGATCTTCACAGATTGTCTGATGCAGTACCCTGCTCTGTGCTGGGCCATCCTGCACTAGACCAAGTATCTCAGAGTACTCTGCATCCACAGGGCACATGCGACCTGGCTGGGCGACCTGTACCTTTATCTCAACAACTTCAGGCTGAAAAATTTCTTCCTTGTGTTGACAGCAACACCAGTAAAAGCCGGTGCTTGATTTCTGTGCACAAGAGAGCGTGAATCTGTCCAACGCTCAGCCCAGTCATGCGACACTGAGGGGCAGCAGAGCTGTAGCTCAAAGCAGCTCTGGAAAGCAACCGGCCCCGGGACCCCAGCCCCATGTCCAGACACAGAGCTTTGGGATACACTGGAGATTCTCATCTCCTGTCGCCTGATCTCCCAGCTGCTGAGACCACATTGACTTTGGCTTGTCCTGCTCGAGCATGGGCAACCGGGAAAGGGTGTCCAGCCAGCTGGGGTTGAGTGAGCAACTGTGGGGCCCAGGGACTCTGGAGGGGGCAGCTGGGGCCCAGATCCAGAGCTGCCTCGCATCTGAAAGGGTCCTGGTCAGATTCAAGAGAGGACAAGGACAGTTTCAAGGGGCTTGGGGCAATCAGAGTCATGGTGATCTGTCAGCAGGAGGTGCTGGGGACAACGTGGGATCACTTGGAGACACATGTGGTGACATCTCCCCCTCCTGAGCTGTGACTTGGGATGGGCTCCCCAGGAGGATGGCGGGTTGGGGGGAGGCTTGGAACAGCTCCCCAGGACATGAGGTTCCTTCCCAACCATGCCCTCAATCCATGGGACATCTCTGACCCAGCATCTCCATCTCTCCATGGGGCAGCTGGGTCACAGATAGCCCAGGGTAAGTTTGTGCTCAGCACCCTGAAGCTGTGGCACCATGGTTCCCCTAGTGCCATGGGGGGATATGACAGCAGGAGGTGCCAGGGATGACACAGGGACACTTGGGGACACGTGTGATGGCACAGTCCACCTCCGATCTGTTTCTGGGGATGGACTCCCCAGGACAGCAGTAGGTCAGGGATAGGCTTGCCCAAACGTGGAGCCTGTGGCACCAGGGAGCTGAGAATCTCATTGCATCTCCCGGGGGCCCTGATGGCCCTGAGCAGCCTTCTCTGGGCCCCAACCTGGGGCTGGGCACCCCAGTTCAGCTCAGCCCAGACCCAGCAATGCTGCACCCCCATGGTGGCTGTGCCATACTCCAGCCACAGTCCCCCTCCTCCTGCTCCTGTCATCACTGCTGGCAGTGGCAGCTGCCCCCCGTCTCTCACAGCAGGATGTGGGGGACCATTTTTGGCTGAGGGGGTCCCCAGAGGCACAGAGAGGATTTGGTAATTATTTATGTCCCAAGATTGGGATGCTGAGGCGCAACTTGAGTCTGCTGAACCCAAGTCACCCGCAACTCTGCTGCCATAATCACTATGGGCATCTTAGGAAGAGGTGGGGGAGCAGAAGGGCAGAGCATCCCCTGTGTCCCTCTGTCCCCAGAGCCCTAGTATGCCTCTGCACTTCCAAGAAGCTCTGCAGTGGCCCAGGTGCTCTGATGTGGCCAAGCTCCCAGCTGGTTGCATGGGGCCAGCAGCACCCACACACCTCAGTGCATCACTAGGCCCCATGGCAGGACATCCAGGGATACTGGGGCACAGGGAAGGGATAAGAAGTGTGGTGGGACAGGTCTGGCAGGGAAGGGGTGGCTGGCATTGCAGGCACCTGGCTGGGACAAATGGGGACCGTGGGAGAGCTGTCACCACTAGGGGTTGCAAAGGGATGAGGTACCTCACAGCCTTTCCCAAATAGAACAATTTCCCTTGATTGCCACATGCCACAGGGACACGCGAGGACAGGCAATGCTGGCCAATGCCCTGGCTGTGGCTTTCGCCCTCCCTGGATGGGGACAGTGGCAGGGTACCCATGTCCACAAATCCCTGGGTCCAGCAATGGTTCTGTGCTGCTGCCAGAGGAGTTACACATCATGGGGTCAGATCTCAGTCCCTGTCCACATCCCTACTGAGCTCAGGAAGAGCCTAGGGAAAGGGGATGTTTCTGGGGTCCCCAGTCTCTGGACACCATCTGTATCCTCTGTCCCCAGATATCCGAGTTCCAGTGTATCTCCAGCGAGATTTCCATATGTCTGCAGAAAGGGGTTGCTCAATGTCCCCAGAGCGTTCATGTCCCAAGCACATGGCAGCAAGAAGAGCCCATGGATTAGGCCACACTGGAACGGGTGCACCTCAAAGCAACTGTAGATGTGGATAAGTCTATACCTCTGTGGTAGTGATTGTGGTGCACAGATAAGCTTCCACGTGGAGCAGGTACAGCCCTAAAGGACTTCAGTCTGTGGGTTAGTTCAAGCTGAAGCAGGGGCATGGGGAGGAGTTTATTGCAAAGTTAAACCCTATAACCTGGTCCAGAGGGACCAGGTTGGAGATCGTAATGGAAATATCTTTAAATTGCTGTATCTCATTATTTGAGTTGCCTGTTTCATAAATTAGCGTGGAAGGAACCATCCATACCAGTGGAGGACAAGCCTTACAAGAAGCAGTGCAAGTGCTACAGTGACCACATCTGAGTTGGCTTTGGTGCCCAATAACTCCTCTGAACACACCACCTTTCCTTTCCTGACTGACCACCGTAATGGATGGAGCCCAAAGTCACAGACTAAATGAACTCAGTGGATGTTTTGTGGACATTTATGGGCATTTTACACAGCTTTCACAGACGTGGTCTGTAGACTAAGGGAATGGTATCTGCATATTGAATCAAGGGATAGGAAGGGGGTGGTGGTACACAAGAACGTATTGGACAGTGTGAGAGCTGAGCATGACATAAATGGTAAGGAATAAGGGGGGAGAATGTGCTGGTTTTGGCTCAGGTAGGGTTAGTTTTTTTCAGAGTAGGTGATACAGGGCTGTGTTTTGGATTTGTGTTGCAAACGGCGTTGGTAACACAGGGATGTTTTCCTTATGGCTGTGCAGGGCTCACACAGAGCGAGCCAAGATTTTTCTGCTCTTCCCCCCCCACCACCAGCGAGAGGGTTGACCCAAGGGATATCCCAGACCATATAGCATCATGCTCAGCACATGGAGGTGGGAAAGAAGAAGGAAAAGGGAGACATTTGGAGTGATGGCTTTTGTCTTCCCAGGTCACCATTACATGTGATAGAGCCCTGCTATCCTGGAGGTGGCTGAACACCTGCCTGCCCATGAGAAGCGGTGAATTAATTCCTTGTTTTGCTTTGTTTGTGTGCACAGCTTTTACTTCCCCTATTAAACTGTCTTTATCTCAACCCATGAGTCTTCTCACTTTTACCCTTCCAATTCTCTCCCTGATCCCACTGGTGGGGGGTGAGCAAGTGGCTGCGTGGGGCCGAGTTGCTGACTGGGGTTAAAACATGACATCCACGGTGAAGCTCCAAGCCCAGGGCAGAGGTAGCCTCCTCATGCCCATGCTGGGGGGACACTGTGATGTCCCTTCACCTCCAGGAAACTCCATGGTGGCCAGACATCCCGAGAGCATGGGACTGGCAGTGTATGCACATGTCAGTGCCACACTGGGCTCCACAGCAGGACAGCCAGAGATGCCAGGGGCACCCAGAAAGGGACAAGAGGAGCAGTGGGTTCAGGTCTGAGGGGGAGAGGGCAGGTGGCAGAATGGGCACCTGGCTGGGATATGAGGGGTCAGTTGGAGAGCTGCCACCACTGAGGGTTGCAAAAGGGGTGAAGGACCCCCCGGCCTTTCCCAAAATAGAACAATTTCCTCCAGTTGCCACATCCTGCAAGATACACAGAGATAGGCAGTTCTGGCCACTGACCAGCCATGGCCTCTGATCCAGGATGGGGATAACAGGGGCAGTGGTGGCACCATCTGTGCTCCGCTGTGGGCAGTGATGGCTCCGTTCCATGACTGCAGGAGTTCTCCGTTGCGGCGTTTGGTCCCATCTCTGTCCCCACTGTATGTCCCCATGACCCCACGTAGGATTCCATGCAGCAGTGCACCCCTGCACCCCCAGTGAGGTTTTACATAACTGTCTCCTGGCGTGTCCGGGCTGGCAGGAACGGACAGGGGTTGCTCAATGTCCCCGGAGCGTTCACGTCCCAAGCGCATGGCAGCAAGAAGAGGAGGAGGTGAGGACCCCCTGGCAGCACAGCTGTTTGCAGACTGTCAGCCCCGGGGGGCAGGAGCTGGACCCACTCTCACAGGGCCCCACAACTGAACGTGTAGAGGGGTAGGAGTGGGACAGAGGGAAAGACCCCAGGCACCTTCGCTCCTTGCCGCTCCCCTGCTCCTGGCATGGGGATGCAGCAGGACCTCCGGCCAGCTCGGGTGAAGGCTACGGGGAGGCTGGGCCAGGAGAGATTGCACAGAGCCTGGGACACTGTGTGGCCGAGCTCCAGCTGGGCTGCAGCCAAGCCCAGTCCCACGGCCATGCAACC